TCACGGTTGCCTGTCCCGTGCCTGCTGCGGACTGTCTCCTGCCTAAATCACAACGTGCAGACCCCCAGGAGACGCTGCTGTCCACCCCAGGAAGAAGGATGGATGGGGTGGGGGCGCATGCGAGGTCTCGGCCATGGGGCGGCTGCGTCCTGGTTGGTGTGGGAGGAGGGAGCTGGGCAGCCCAGCTGGAGCACTGGGCACGAGACCCTCCCAGGGATGGCGGGTGGGTGGCCCCTTGCCCTGTAACGTGGGTGCTGCCTCAGGAGTTGCCAGGGCGGCTGTGCTGCACCCACAGCTCAGCATCCAGCAGCGCCCTGGGCTGCTGTGGGTGGAGATGGCCCCTTGGTGCTCTGTTCCCACCCGCTCCATGGTCCTCCCTGGCCAGGGGCTTTCACAGGTCGCATCTCACCTTGGCGCTGCCTTCAGAGCAGGTTGGGCCATGGCGCCTGCGCTGCTCGTGCTGGGAAGGAAGGGCTAGTGCCTCCCACACCATGGCCACTCTGGCCCAGCGCCTTGGCTGGCGGCAAGAGGGAGCTGCTGGGATGGATGGCTGTTCCAGCATGGCCCAAAAGCCTTCGCCCGCCCTGCTCACAGGGCCGGGGCTGCTCTCTGTCGTGTCGTCAGCCTGTCGTGAGCGTGCCCCTGGGCTGGAGCTGCTGCTGGGGGCTGGTCAGAGGGGGAAAGAGCACACGTGTTTGGTGCAACCCCCAAGTGCTGAGCTGTGCGGGTGGTTGAGCAAAGGGCCCTCCTGCAGTCTGCGATCTTGTGGCATTGGTATATGGTGGAAAAAATAATAGGGTGTTGTAACTTTTCCATGTAAAATAATCTCACTGCCATTAAACAACCTGTGAGTTTGTCTCGTGGGCTTGGTGGTGCCTCTCTGCTTTTCCACGTCAAGGTGAGGGGTGCAGTGACTTCCCGGAGCTGCCCCCCTGGCTTCAAAGGCCCCAGGCCCTGCAGCCCCTGGCCCTGGCACCAGGGGTACCAGCTGCTGCCTGTCTGCTCCGGTTTGCTTTCCTGCTGCTGGGAGAGCAGGGAGATGCAGCCCCAACCCCCCCTGGCCTGTTCTGTTCCCTGCTGTGGGGCAGGAGGGGGTCACAGATGCCCCTGCCCTGGTTGGTGCCTGCCCCCCCATGGTGGGGGACAGTCCCACGCTGTTTGCTGTAGGGCAGCTGGGGTGAGACCACAGGCACGGCTGGGCATGGAACTGGGGGAGCACAGCCCCAGAGTCCTGCAGGGCACCCCTGAGATGGGGGTCCTGTTGCCCCTGTACAGGTGGGACCCCTGCCTGGGGGAGGAGAAGCC